TTTTTTGCTAATGTGATCTCCAAGCATATACAAACAATTTTGATGGTTTGGATCGTTGAAATTAGTTTTGGAGAATTCGTAAAACGATAGATTGACTAACACTTAGAGTTTATTTATACTTTTATTAAGTATAACATAAGATTTTGTGGTATCCACTTGTGTAAATATTTTAAATTGAAGATCGAATTCATTCATTGTATTCATATAGGGTCAAGGAGTGTAGTTGTAAAAAATCATCAAAATCGGAGTTAAAATAACCGTTAAATCATGATTTTTTGTTTATAACCGTTGAAAATCTTTGTCCCGTTACTTGATCTCTGAATGTTTTTTTTTTTGTGATTTTTTGCTGATGTGATCTCCAAGCATATACAAACAATTTTGACGGTTTGGATCGTTGAAATTAGTTTTGGAGAATTCGTAAAACGATAGATTGACTAACACTTAGAGTTTATTTATACTTTCATTAAGTATAACATAAGATTTTGTGGTATCCTCTTGTGTAAATATTTTAAATTGAAGATCGAATTCATTCATCGTATTCATATAGGGTCAAGGAGTGTAGTTATAAAAAATCATAAAAATCGGAGTTAAAATAACCATTAAATCGTGATTTTTCGTTTATAACCGTTGAAAAGCTTTGTCCCGTTACTTGATCTCTGAATGTTTTTTTTTTGTGATTTTTTGCTGATGTGATCTCCAAGCATATACAAACAATTTTGATGGTTTGGATCGTTGAAATTAGTTTTGGAGAATTCGTATGCCATCAATCAAGTTTCCCGTGTGTGTGTGTATATATTTATTAAGTAGATTTAAATCTATTTATTTTGTACGTATAAATTATAATTGACTGGTACACAAAATAGTACATACATCACGTGTCACGTGTGTCATTATAAAAATAGTGAGATATGTCATGACAGTCATGTGTGTGATAAAAAGTTAATAACTTAAAAAAAAAAAAAATTCTCACCACTTCTATTAATTTTCATTTTTCCCTCTCTTTTTTGTTTCCTTTTCAACTTTTTCTTATAATTTTCACTTTTCCCTCCAACATCTTTCCCTAATTCCCTCACTTTTTTGTTTCATTTTCAACTTTTCTTAACATTTTTATTTTACCTCCATTTTTTTTTTCAAAAAGGACGGCAAGTTGGCAACGGCAAGAAATTGATTATTGAAATTTGAATGGAAAGAAATCACACCAAATTTCAATGGATGCAAAATCATGCAATGCATCATGCATATTAAATTATTAATTAATAATTATTATAGTTTTTATAAAATTTAATATATATATATATAATTATTATAGATAGACTTAACATTTTGGGGGTATAATTATTATAGTATATATAATTATTATAATTATTATAAATTTTATAGTTAATTTAATATATATATATTTATTATAATTTTTAGGGGTATAAAATTGTAAAATTAATGTATATAATTATTATAGTATTTTTTTAGGGTTATAAAATTATAAAAATAATATTCTGCTTATCGTGTATCGTGTTACCCACGTGTATACCCGAACCAACCCGTTATCTTAACAGGTGCTTATCGGGTTACCCGATAACGACCCGATTCATTATCGTGTCGACCCAAACACCTGTTAATTTCGTGTCGTGTCGTGTCGGGTTATCGGATCGTGTCAGAAATTGCCAGGCCTACTTACAATGCATGATTTGTAAGGAATGAGTTTTTTAGCTGTGTCATATTATAATTGCTATCTACCAATGAATGAATGAATAAGTGCGTCTCATATTAATTTTAGTATGGAATACATGGAAAAATCTAGGTAAGACCGTATGGGATAACTAGGGTTGGGTAGGGGTTTGGGTTGGTTCGGTTTTAGGTTCATATTACGAACCAAGCTGCAGATTTTGATTTGCCTAAATTTCAAACCACAACCAAACCATAATGGCTTAAAATAGATGGTTCGATTTGAAGTTTAACATGCATTTACTATCAAATGAAAAATTCAGAGCTATGTTGTAAATGTTAATAAAGCTTTGTAAATCTATAATTTTATAAAACAATTCATCATCAAACTGTTAACCTCTCACAACTTCAGATAACCTAATCTCATACTCAACTAAAAGTTTTAAACTTCTATATCTCATCAATCTAATATATAGAGTAAAATACTAAAATATATAATTTTATGGTTAACTACGATTTATAAAAATCTAAACTGCAGACTAAACCAATTATTTCGGTTTGGTTAAGTTTTATAAAGTAAATGGATTAAAAAAACAAAAAAAAGAACCAACCCAAACGGTTTGTTTTGATTGGATAACCATATTAATAAATAAGAGTTGTTTATCCCATACCTATTCCTTCTTATCTTAATTCCCTTCTGCTAACTCCAACTAAGTAAGCATGCCCTAAGAGAAATGATAAGAACACTAAAATCATCAAATTAACCCGATTTTCTTTTGGTACCTTTGGCAGTTGAAACTATTAGTGCAAGAGAATCCGGTTAGGATTTTTTTTCTTATTGGGCTAGGTTTTGGTATTGTAATCCCTGTAAGTTTCTTGTAAGTCAAGTCACTGATTTGAATATAAATATATTTTGTGATATCAATACAATTACACAATTTTAATAATTCTACATATTTGGACTTTGATACACCTAAACAATCCCTAATTGAAGATAAAAATATCTTGTACATTGTAGGGATAACATAACGCTCTCTCATGTTGGAGCCTACCATTCTTAGGTATTAATTGTTCAGAGGATTAGTTTTACATGGATTACCATAAGACTATGAGCTCGTTTGAATGTGCTTTTAAAATGACTGAAAGCTCGTTTGGTGAAAATATTTTTGGAAACAATCTTTAGTAAAAATGCTAGCTAATCTTGGAAAAGCACTTAAAGTGCTTCCTAGAAGAAGCACACAACTGGTGCTTCTTGTAGAAAGCACTTCAAGTGCTTTTGAAACCCATAAACATTTTCTCTAAAAGCACTTACAATCATTTTAAAAGTACATCCAAACGAGCCCTATATCAGCTCGTTTAGAAGTGCTTCTAAAATGGCTAAAAGCGCTTTTGGTGAAAATGTTTTTGAAACCAATCCTTAGCAAAAATACAAGTAGATACTGAAAAAGCACTTAAAGTGTTTCCTGAAAGAAGCGCATGACTAATGATTCCTACAAATAACTGATGATACTTTTGAAACCCAAAACAGTTTCTCTAAAAACGCTTTCAGTTATTTTAAAAGTCAAATAAAAATTATCATATAAAATTTGCTTCAACAGAACCGGCTCTTCGTTCACAAAAGCAGGACGGAAAAAAAGTTCATATTGGAGAGCCCAATAGATGCTAGCATATCTGCCCACAATTTTCTGAACCCTCTTGAAATACTTCTCCAATTTAATTAATTTCTCAATCCATTGTATGAAAACTAACTTATGTACCCTTTTGTAACAGAAAGGTAGCACCACTTGTTCATCACATTTTATAACTAACAAACCTTTTCATATACTAAACATTGATGTAGTTCACTTGTTGAAAATCAAAATACGCGTAATGAATAGACTAACAAATTGAAGAACGAATCAACTACATACGAATGCAAGTGAAAAGAAAAGGAACAATACAAAAATTTAACGAGACGACTACATAACCGAAAGAGACTACACTCTGACTAACTACTTCTCAAACTATATTACAAATAATATTTACAAAGGAAAACTAATGAAAAGGTCTTCAAACCTTTAAATTTTAACCAAAAGCCTGTACTAACTTTATTTAATGGTTAGGACAAAACCCAATACCAAACTAGCCTAATAAAATTGGCCCAAGCAAAAGAAATCGAGCTTCTGAATTTACCCCTAACGTCAAGTCTTGGCCTGTTTATTTGGTCTGTTTCCTTTATATCTTCTTCTCCGTCCAAATGCCAAACCTTACCTTAATCATCCTTCAACCAACCATACCCACCTCAAGATGCTCAAACCGGAAACAAACCTTTACCAAATTTGCAACCCCAAAACTTAAGCTGGAGCATCTCCATCCTTTCTTCGATATCGCAAAGGTAAGCATTTGCCATCCTTCATCTCTAATGTTATTGTTCAAAGAATTAGAATGAAAAGCTCAATATATTACTCATGCATGCTGTTGCTGTGTAGGACTTTGATTTTAGGCCATGGCTTCAGATTGGATGAACAAACAAACGGCAGAGATCTCAAGGTTTGCGAATTCATGAATGATAAGGGTAAACAGAAAAACTCCATCCCTTCCTTCTTTTGTCGGTGTTGTAGTTTGGATTCACTTTTGACTTTGTCATGTAATCTTTGTGATGTTTGTGGCTGAAAGAATAAACGCAAAATTATCAGTGCTTCATTGATGTAAATTCATCCATGCTTCTAATGAATTGTTTGTGGTCTGTGTGTATTTGTGCATCCATGTATTTTTTTTTTTTTTGGATAAATGGGGGATTGTATTTTTTTTAACGAATTGAGAGTGTATGATTTCTCTTTTCTTCTTACGATGATTTTTTTTTATGGTGTGAAGGCTTGATGGATCTACCAAATCCAATCAAAACTTGAGGGATGTGGAAAATATGGAAGAGAATGCTTTTTCTCATTATTTTTCTCTACAAGATTACAAGGATCTATATACATGATACAAGTGTGTAGGTAGGACGGCTGTAGGACGGCTAGTGTGTAGGTAGGACAATGTAGGACGGCTTATTCTTCCAATACTCCCCCTCAAGCTGGATCAAGGAGGTTAATTGATCCAAGCTTGGAGAGCAGACTTTGAAACTGAGGAGAAGTAAGAGACTTCGTGAAAATATCAGTAAGTTGATCTTGGCTTCGAGTGAATGTGGTTTGAATTACCTTGGACTGGACTTGTTCCCGAACGTAGTGACAGTCAACTTCAATGTGTTTGGTGCGTTCATGGAACACCAGATTGGAGGCAATATGCATAGCTGCTTGATTGTCACAGAAAAGAGACATAAGTGTGTTGATTGAGAACCCCAAGTCCGAGAGAAGGCCCTAGAGCCAAATGAGTTCACATGCAGTGGAAGCCATGGCTCTATACTCAGCTTCGGCACTTGAGCGAGCAATTACATTTTGTTTTTTGCTCTTCCATGTCACGAGGTTTCCTCCAACCAATGTGCAGTAGCCAGTAGTGGATTTTCTATCAATAGCATTCCCTGCCCAGTCAGCATCGGTGTAGGCAATGATTTGAGTATGACCATTGTTTTTCATGACGATTCCCCGACCAATGGAGCCTTTGAGGTATCTGAGAATTCTTTTAACAACATTTAAATGAGCTTCAGTGGGTGCATGCATGAATTGGCTTACAAGACTGACGGCGTAAGTTATATCCGGTCTGATGATGGTGAGATATATAAGCTTACCCACTAATCGTTGGTAGTAACTGATATCACTGAGAGGTTCTCTTGTCAAGTCCAACTTTAATTTGCTATCAAGAGGAGTACGAGTTGGTTTGCAATCCATCATCTTCACTTCTTGAAGTAAGTCAATCACATATTTCCTTTGACTCAAAAAAAGTCCCTTGGGGGAAGTGGCCAGTTCAATCCCAAGGAAGTATTTTAAAAACCCTAAGTCTTTAATGGCAAATTGTTGATGAAGAGAATGTTTAAGAGTGTGAATCTCATCAATGTTATCACCTGTGATGATGATATCATCAACATAGATTAGTACAACTAATTTGCCAACTGATCCTATTCGAACAAACAGGGAGGAATCAACATGACTTCTCTTGAACCCAAAATTTTCAAGTACCGAGCTCAGTTTGGCATACCAGGCACGAGGAGATTGTTTCAAGCCATAGATTGACTTATGAAGCTTGCAAGCTATACCTGAATTCTGTGCTTGTGGATGACCCGGGGGTAGTTGCATGTAGACTTCCTCTTCGAGGTCTCCATGTAAAAAAGCATTTTTTACATCCATTTGGTACAATGGCCATTCATGGTTCACTGCAATAGATAACAAAACCCTTATTGTGCTCATCTTAGCCACGGGAGCAAATGTCTCCTTATAGTCCACTCCAAAAGTTTGAGTAAAACCGCGAGCCACCAATCTTGCCTTGTGTTGTTCAATTGAGCCATCAGAATTAAACTTGATTTTATAGACCCACCGACTGCCTACCACCTTCTTGCCTTTGGGAAGTTGAACTACACTCCAGGTTTTATTTTCATTCAAGGCTTTGAGTTCTTGTTCCATGGCTAGCCTCCACATAACTTGACAATTGGCTTCTTGAAAGTTCCTTGGTTCACTTTCATAGGACAGTTTACTGAGGAAGGCTGCATGAGAGTGAGAGACTTTGGAGTAATTTACAAACTTGTGAATAGGGTTCCTTGCATGGTAAGTTTCATAGTCTTGCAGCCTTGATGGTGGATGTCGATCTCGAGTCGGATTCCTGCGGGGTTGAGCTGGGATCACAATATGTTCAGCTTCACTCTCTTGTATAGATGTTGTGTTATGGTCATGGGGAACTACTTGTGCTTCTGAGGCTTTAGTGTTGTCTCCAATAAGCAGGTTGTCATTAAGGGTTGCATGAGAGTCCCAGTTGTGAGGTAGTGAATGGACACAGTCACTTGGTTCAACTGGATTTGGCAATGGGAAGAGATCTAGGAAGTGCTCCCCTTGACGATTTTGATCTGATGATTTGTTGAAATATGGTTGGTTTTCATCAAACCGTACATCTTTTGAGACAAACATCTTCCTGGAGCACGGATTGTAGCATTTGTACCATTTTTGGGTGGAAGAGTATCCCATGAAAACACACTTGACAGCTTTGGGATCAAGCTTGTCTCGGTGATGGGATTGAATATGAACATAACAGGTACATCCAAAGATTCTCAGATGGGAAAGATTAATTTTTTTGTTTTGCATAACCTCAGATGGTGATTTTGTATCCAGAACACGACTAGGCAGTCTGTTGATAAGGTAGGTGGCTGCAAGAACTCCTTGAGACCAAAACTTCTTAGGCACATTCATTTGCAACATTAGCGCCCTGGTTTTTTCAAGTAGGTCCCTATTCTTCCTTTCGGCAATTCCATTTTGCTGAGGAGTACCTACACAACTTGTTTGATGTATAATTCCATGGGTGCTCAAATAGTTAGTCATATTTTTGGATGTATATTCAGTGCCATTATCAGACCTTAGTATGTGGATTTGGGACGAAAAATGGTTCATGACAAGATTATGAAAGTCCTTGAAAGCATCCATAACTTCACTTTTGAATTTTAGGAGGTACAACCAAGTGGCTCTTGAGAAATCATCAACAAAGATAACGTAGTACCTATAACCATCAAAAGACTCTAGAGGTGCAGGTCCCCAAACATCGGAGTGCACCATCTCAAAAAACTTGCTAGTCCTAGACATGGAAAAATTGAATGGGAGTCTAGTAGATTTTGACAAATGACAAATTTCACATACAAAGGAGGATTTGCATAAACTAGGGAACAACGTAGACAACACAGATTCTGAGGGATGTGCTAGGCGTTAATGCCACAACCGATGTTCTAGGTTTGAGCTGACTTGGAACCCCTTTGGAACATTGAGGTTCTCTGAAAAATAGTACAGCCCATTTAGGTAGTGACCTTCACCAATCAGCTTCTTGGTGACTAGATCCTGAAAAACAACATTGTGGGGGGAAAAAATTGCACGACAGTTTAGAGAGTTTGTAATCCTTCCTACGGACAATAATTGAAAAGGAAAAGATGGAACATATAACGCTGTGGACTCAACAGTTTCTGAGATCAGTTTAACTTTCCCTCTACCTAGAACTGGCACACATCTACCATTTGCTACAGAAACTAGTGATGGTTTAGTGTAGCTTTCAAAATCGTATAGCTTTGAATATTGATTTGTCATGTGATCTGTGGCACCTGAGTCTATAATCCAAAAATCATGAGAGTGACTAACATTTAGAGCAGTTGAAAGAGCACACATGATACCTGAAATGTCTCCTTGAGGTACATGACCAGATTCAGCTAAGAACCCTGTAAACTGTCCAAGAAGAGCAGTTTGACTTTCCCCAGTCGACGTTTCACCTGTGCTTCCTTTTCTGGTTTGAAGGTAGGTTGAGAACTCATTCAATAAGTCAGCCGGATTGGCTGTAAAGTTCATCGACCCACCGATGGATGTAGCAGCAGTAGCATGGTACTTGTTTGTATGTGGTCTAGCGTGTGAGCCCTTATGATCTCTTAAAGGCTTGTTCTCAAACCTTGGCTTTAACTCAGGGTGCAATATCCAGCATCGATCTATTAGATGTCCAACATTATTACAATGTAGACACTTCAGATCTGGCTTTTTTCCCTTGTATACTTTATCTCCAAATGACTTGTGATTTGTCACAAAAGCTCTAGCCTCAGACACACTAGGTTTTACGTCAACATTCATGACTTTTCTGCGTACTTCTTCTCGCTGAATAGTAGTGCAAACACTTGCAAATGATGGAAGTTCGGGATTCATTAGAATATGGCTTCTAAGATCTTCATATTCAGAACCCAAACTTGCAAGCAAATGAAAGATTTTGTCTTCCTCGGACCTTTTTAACAGTACGACAGCATCGATAGTGTGTGGTCGATACATATCTAGTTCGTTCCACATGTTTTTCATGCAACTGAGATGATGAACAAAGGATTTATCACCTTGTTGAAGACTTGCGAGATTCCTCTTAAGCTGGAACACTCGAGCAGCATTGTTTTGATTTCCATACATGTCCTTGACTGCCTTCCAAAGAGCACTAGAGGATTCTGAAAAACTGAAAATTTCAGACAGCTTAGGATCCATGGAGTTGAGGAGCCACGACATGACCAGCTGGTCTTTGCACAGCCATGCTTCATACTCCGGCGATGCGACGTCAGGTGCTTCAATACTTCTATTGACGAATCCAAGTTTGGACCTTCCTCCAAGGGCAAGAGATATAGATCTGGACCATGGAAGATAGTTAAACTCATTTAACAACACAGAACACAAACGTTGGTTTGGGTTGACTTCAGCTTCTGGAAAACTAGGGTGAGGAGCTGTGAAGCTTTCAGCTTTTGAGCCAAAAAGATTATCTTCTGCCATTATCGAAACGAATGTGCAGAAGAAGAGAAGGGACAACAATGGAGTCAGGCCGGTTAAGGTTCCGGCTCTGATACCATGGGGAAAATATGGAAGAGAATGCTTTTTCTCATTATTTTTCTCTACAAGATTACAAGGATCTATATACATGATACAAGTGTGTAGGTAGGACAAGGTAGGACGGCTAGTGTGTAGGTAAGGCAAGGTAGGACGGCTGTAGGACGGCTTATTCTTCCAATAAGGGATGATTTCCAAAAACAATAAATAAAAAATACAATACTCTTTATGATTTCTTTTTACAAATTTCGGTGAGATGTGGGTTTTTATCTCAAATTTCAGTCCATTGAAGTTGAAATTGATTGCGAAGTTGTCAAATGTATATTTCAGGCTGTTTGACTCCAACATGCTCATCAACAGCATCACGATGGTGATATGCTTGGATGATTACCATTCCCTAGATAGGACAATGAGGAAGAAGAAAGGAGTGACGATGCTAGACCCACGAGCTAACAACTTCGATCTTACACTAGACCCAATAGCCCACATGTTTTCAATTTCATAAATAGTCAGTTTTAGTGTACCCGTTTTCAGTTTCATAAATAGCGTACCCGTTTTCAGTTTCATAAATAGTGTACTCATGTTGAGTTTCATAAATGGTTAGTTTCATAAATAGTGTACCCATTTTCAGTTTCATAAATAGTATATTCATGTTGAGTTTCACAAATGGTCAATTTCATAAATAGTGTACTCGTTTTCAATTTCATAAATAGTGTACTTGTTTTCAATTTCATAAATAATGTACTCGTGTTGAGTTTCATAAATAGTGTAAATGTTTTCAATTTCATAAATACTGTACCCGTGTTGAGTTTCATAAGTAGTGTAAATGTTTTCAATTTCATAAATAGTGTACTCGTGTTGAGTTTCATAAATAATCAGTTTCGTAAATAATGTATTTGTGTTGAGTTTCAGAAATAGTTTAGTACTTGTGTTTAGCTAACTAGATTAAAGCATTTGTGATTTTTGCTCGTCTTTTGTCTTCTTCGGCATTCATTATTTTCATTCTCTTTTACTTTATTCAATCTAAAAATTAAAGTTTTTCTCAAACATTCTATACTTTCATTCTTTTTAAATTTATTCAATCTAAAAGTCAAAGATAAAACCACAAAAGTCATTTTCCGAGAAAACCAAACCATTTTCCTCTCCATATAAACGTGACAAATACGTTATTTTTTGTTACAAGTGTGCATTTTTCATGTTGCACTAATTCATAAAAAAAAAAAAAATCAAACTAGAGAGTTTATGTATATGTATATGTGTGTGTATATATATACACACATATATATGGTGAGAGAGAGAGCTAGAGAGTTTAGAAAGAAAAGAGAGTGGAAAGAAATATGATGATTTAGGAGTGATCAAGGAACTTGTTCAAGTAGGTGGAGCTTAGCTATTGTGGTAGTGACGTTGGAGCTTCGTTTTAGCTTTGAAATTGAGGGCTTTGAAGCCTATTTGATGACTGGACAACAATTTTTGAGACATTAAGGTAAAGATTTACATTTGATCAAATTTCTGGGATTTTGTACAAGTTTCATATGGATGTGATTTAGAGAAATTTGATGTTTGACTCTAAATTCATCAAATTTGGTCTTTAAAGGATGTTTGTATGGAAGAAGAGAGCTGTACAATTGATGGATTGTGTTTTGGCTTGAAAGATAAGTTGAATTTTTGGGAAAACAGACCTCAAAGGCACTAGTTTCATACCAAGGATTGAATTGTGAAAATAGTTTCAGTTTTGGGGTAATTTTGTGAATTATCGAAAGTTCAAGGGCCAAAGTGCAATTATCAAAAGTTTGGGGGACCTATTTGAAATAATAAAAAGTTCAAATACAGAATTTTATTCTAGTTAAGTGAAGGTCCCTTTTGGATATAGTTGTTGTTATGAGAATAAAGTTTAGTCATTATATATGGACATATAGTGACATATTGTAATTGTTAAACTAGGGACTGCAATTACTCGTGGTGTTTGCGTTTAATCGGGGCATTGGTGAGGAATATTGCTTGGCTTGGAGACCAGGTAGGAGAATCCTCACTTACCCTAGTTATGGAATTTTGTGCATGTATGTATATGTAAATATATGAAAGCCTGTGAAAACTGCATATATTTTGCTGTGATAGAACCAATGGTTTTGTTTTATATCATGATATGCATGATTCTTTTACGCTACAAATTAAATTGATGACTTGAGAGTGAAGGGTTTCGATCCCCTAAACCTCCGGAGGGGCTACTACGAAGGGATTAGTACCGCTACCTTTCTAGGAAAGGTACTAGGATATCTAAAGGTAGAGCATTAAAGGACACTCTCACTACACCTTACCATAAGTATATTCGTTCGGAGTTGGTCTAGGTAAGGGGGTAGTTAGTCATTAGACCGGTCATCATGTATGTAGTGATTTATAGGGATCTCTGTTTTCTTTTTAAAGGGAAATTGTGTGAGCATACAATCTATTTTCAAAACTAAACAAAGCTTTTGTTGTGCATCAACCATTTTCCTATAGAATATATAGTGTCATATACTATTTTCAAACCTAGTTGGGGTGGATTCCTTGAGGAGGTGAGATGAACGTTTGTGATGCTCACCTCTACTTTATTATAGGACCGGCACCTACAAATAGACGATTTGGACTAAAGTTGGGACAAGAGTTGTTTGATGCTTCATATGCTTGATTCCCTTACCGTCTTGAAGGAATCTTTTGTAGCCAAACTTAGCGCTTTGTACTTTCGAAATCGTACTAAAGAGTTGGTGTAGTATGATAATTACCTTAAACTCTTTGGTTTTGTTGTAGATTGTGAAGTTCTTTTCCTTCGTGAAAATTTTATCCAAATTCAGTTGCCATTTTATTCTTCATTTTACCAAAATGATTTTCGCTTCCATACTGCTTAAAAATAAATTATTTTATTCCCCTCAAATAGCCTTACGTTCTATTAGGAATGTAGTGCTATAGTGTTGGATTTTAACACTATAGTATTGTGTTACTAATAGAGCGTGGCACTGTTACGTGCCGGTTTTGGGGGTGTGACATGTTATGCTAAAGAGAAAAATTTTAGTGTCATCGGTTGTAAATAATTATATGTTTATTTTTTTATTACATTTATCACGTTACTTGTTCCGTGTAATAAAAAATAAAAGATAATTATATATAACTGACCATGGTGCATTGTGAGTGCATAAGATTCCATGAAACATCAACTTTGTGGTGAAAAATTGGAAATTGTTTTATCCATCTCGCCTAATGATTGCATAATATAAGCATGCCATGCCAATGTTTCCATGGAAAAGCAAATCCAAATGCGACCACTCTCTTCTTTTTTTTTTTTTTGGGGACAAAAATGCGACCAATCTGTCTGCCTGAATTTCCGTAGTTTCCCACTTCTCTTTCTTTCTGTCTTCTTGGGGCAGTAAGAGACAAAAAGAATGGTTGTGACCCTTATTTTAAAGGCATATTCACATAGGGTGGGACTGGTCAAATTGCCACTTTTGCTTTAAACGAGTGAATGATGAGAATCCTAGCTAGGGTTTTGCTCTTTACCTATAATTTTTTTTTTTCTGTAAATATGACATTGGGGTCTTTAGTTTTTCTTGACTATTTTTGATAAAGAGAAAGTGAAAAAGATGGTTAATGGATTTATTGACCGAAAATCAATTTGTTTTCTTCCTACACATTATGCTCATTTTTATTACTGGTTCTTCTCTAACTAATACAATTTAAAACCAGTAATAAACAAGAATTACAAAATAAGAGTGACCAGAATAATCACTTTTCAATCACGAATGCTCCGTTTGTATGTTTGTATTATATGGACCCAAACTACCAACTATTTCCATTTTTCAACCATTTCTTGCATCACCGTACCATATAAAACACATATTATATACACTGTGACCACAGTAGTGGCCTTCTTTTGTCACACTACTTTTCCTTTTTGTATATCCTTTAATTTTCTTGTTTTTAATATTCTCTGTTTGGTTGAGAAAAGCTCCCAAGAAGAATCCCACCGACGAATAGATCTCTCCCTCCATAACTTTCCCTCTCTTTTATACCCTCCAAACAACCGGTCACTAGGCATAAGCTGCCTATAAGTTATAACTACAACAAGAGCAACAAGGTTTTAGTTAGGGATTTTTAATAAATGGGCAATTGCTTGTTTGGAGGTTTGGGAGATGCAGATGGGGTAGTTCAAGTGACAACATCAAATGGTGGGATAATGGAATTTTATGTGCCAATCACTGTAGGCTTGATCACCAAAGAATTTCCAGGCCATGGAATTTTCAGAAGCCATGATCTTTTCTGGAAACCACTCTCTCACCATGATGATCTTCTGGCAGGACAAAATTACTATCTTCTCCCTCTCAACAGCCAAAGTGGTCGTCACTTGGGCAGCGCCCAGATTGTGAGGGAAGGCCATGTTAGGTCAAACAGCATACCAACTTGTTCACTTGCTGCGCCCTACAGAATGTCGCTTGATTACCATGGAATGATGAAGAGGTCTTACACCGAGGCATTTTCGAAGTACAATAACGTCAGTTTTTGGAAGGTGAAGCTGGTGATCAGTCCAGAGCACCTGTTGGAGATTTTGGCTCAAGAGGGTCAGACTCAGGAATTGATTGAGAGTGTCAGGACTGTGGCTAAATGTGGGAGTGGTGGTTCGGTTTCAGGTTTGGGATTTTCCGATCAGTGGAGCCTCTCGAGTAGTAGTAGAAATGCTTCATCTAAGAAAGATGGAATATTGCTAGATATTTAGCTGGAATCGTAGCAACAATATTGTTCTTTATAACTCCGGTTTGTGTTATAAGTTCTTTTTTTTTTTTGGCCAAACATGTAATCTTGTTTTTTTTCTCTTGTATCATGATTTCAAATTGTTAATGAAGATGTTTAGACTTTGAGTTTCTAGCATACAATACGACTCTTTTAATCGCTGGTTTTGGTTTTTGTTGGTACTGTTGATCGAAATCAATTAAATAATGTTCCACCCCGGAATTGAACATATATAGGTGTAGATCGTGGGAATGAGGGTATGCCACAACTAGAGGCCACTAGTAAACAGGTTTCAAGCATTGAAATATCACACCTATTTGACTTTTAAACAAAAGATTGTGTCCTTGAGTGGGGAGGCTCAACTTTGAACTGTTTTGCATTGAATGCTAAGGACTTCACATTTTCTTGTATGTAGGAAACTAACTTAGAGTATGAAACTCATTCGAAGAGAGAAATTGTATTCAAATACTTAGCAGAGGAAATTATTAGTGGAAAGCTACATAACAAATTAACAAGAGAAAGCAAATGTAATCTATTGCTTTGCCAAAGAAGGCTTGCTTTGATTTTGAGAGAGTGAAGAAAGTATGGTACTTCTCCACCGATACTATTTGATTTGAGAGAGATTTAGAGAAGGAATGGACTTCTTCTCTTTGAAATGCTTTATGGAAAGCTTGCTTGCTTTCTTTGAGAGGTTTGCTCCTTGAGAGAGATTGAATAATCTTTGCTTTTTGATTGAAGTTGTTGGGGCCTTCTCTTTTGCCCATGCTTTTCTTTATATAGTGATCCACCAAGCCCTAGGTCTTCTCTTCATTTTGTCGCTATAATGACAACGGTCTCACATCCACATGATTTTTCATCACCCAATGATCATTATGCTTATAGTTATTCTCAAGGCTTTAGGACTACAAACCAATATGAACTATCTCCTAACTTGATAAGTGGGCCTCGTAGAATTCATGTGAATTGTCAAATTATGGTCCAAATGAAGGAAAATTTATGTCATAGCTAAGAACATGTAAGAACATTTGAATACATATGCAAACTAATAACACTTTAAAGTAGGCATGCATTCAAAAACAATTCATAAAACCCATGACTTTCAAAGCCTAGTATATGGTGAACCATAAGACTCTTTAACAATATTAAAGAGAATAAGAATTTAGAGATTCTTTACCCTTGAAGCTCATCCTTGATTGCACAAGGGATTCACCCAAGTGGAGGGCCTTCAAGTCACCTCCTTGCTCCTTGGATCTTCCTTGTGATTTCCTCCCTTTTAGTGCTCCTTTTCTTCTTTGAGGATTTGAGGATTTGTTCTCCAAAACACCAAAGGTTTGGTGTCTCTAAGTCTCCACACCAAAGATGTAGTGTGAAGATGAAATGGATGACTTAGGGAAGAAAAGATTGCTAGATGTTCCTCCCCTAAGTGGCCGGCCTCTATGTAGAAAATGAGAGAATATGTTTCACCCAAATTCAATTAGAAAACCCTAATTAGAAACAAAGCTATAAAGATGACTTTATACTTCATCTCTTAGGTTAGTGGCAAACTTGCAATTAAGCAAGTTCCCACTACCCTTGATATGGCCGGCCCTTCAAGTGTTATTGGGCTTAATTGCCCATTTTGTTTTAGTTGTCATACAACTTAAACATAATGGGCCTTGTGGACCAAAACGTTTTTGTGCCCCGAAGCCCAAAACTAACTTAAACGCCCAATACGAACGTTTCGTATAATTAATTAACTATTTAATTAATCTTGACCATTCTTCAATTAAACCATTTAATCTCTTATCCATTTCATATAATTTCTTCACTTATATCCTTACTCGGTGTACGATCCATTAGGTTCCAATTAGCGAGGTAGTGGGCGATGTTACTCTTAACGATCGATTGTGAATTGAAACCACATTTCAATTCTCCCTTAAAATTAGTGTTTGCTAATCTTTAGGGCTTCCACAAACCATGGGTGACACCTAGCAGCATGTCATGGTTACCCAAGCTAAGTAGAAGTGGTTGGAGAACCTATCCAGTTACAACTACAATGCAATACGGTCATTCTCTAATACAATACTCTTAATCACATTGTTTAAGTGATAGTTTGTTTCATGTCTACTATCCAATGTGATACTTCTCTATATGATTCAATTGAATAAGATTTGGAACAAGCTTCCTAAGTCATATTCATATGCTTTGGCCAAAGACTCTCGAATCATATCTTAGAGTATTCTCCTTCCACCATGGAAGGTTAGAGATCCCTTGTTGTGCATTCATATGCCTACATGACTAGATAGCTTGACCCCAACAATGCCGTGGACACTCCAATGGAATGCCGTTGACATAATCAAAGATCAAGGACCTAACCATTAGACATCAATGATGCCTCAGGTCAAAGGACTACTTTGCATATTGCAACTATTGAGTTCTCACATGACCTGTATGTTCGAACTCTCGTTTGATCGTTGTTCAGTGTACTCGATTACTCTTTCGAGCACCTATGTGTTTGCCTTAGTGTCCAACACCAAATGACTTGAGACTAGTTCATACTCACGCTTGAGTCGACATAACACATACTAACCTTAGCGGATTGTCAATGCCCAATTGGCAATCCTATGGCTAGGAACGTTTTAGGAATGAACATAAGAGAAAGGTCTCGTTAATTTAACTAACTTAAATCACTTGTCTCTTAGATCAAATACATTCCTTGGATTCCCTTATTGCTTAAACACAAGATACAATAAATAGTGATTAACAATAAGTTTTGCCCTTCATTAAACATATAAAAGTTTAATACATTAAGTATTCCAAAAAGCTATTACATCAAATGAGTGGCTTTGTGGGCATACTTCCAACACCAAATTCACTATGTCAGTCATATAATATAGATATATAGTGGATTAGTTCTCTTTGTATTCATAACAACAACAACAACAAAGCCTTATCCCACTAAGTGAGGTTGGTTGTATGAATCCTAGAACGTCATTGCGCTCGGTTATGTGCCATATCTTCCGTTAGATCCAAGTACTCCAAGTCTTTTCTTAGAGTCTCTTTCCAAGTCTTCCTCTACCTCTTCGACCCTGAACTTCTGTCTCGTAATCACATATTCTAATTGGAGTGCCTGGAGGCCTTCGTTTCACATGTCCAAACCACCTTAACCTATTTTCTCTCATCTTTCCTTTAATCTCGGCTACTCCTACTTTGTCTCGGATATCCTCATTCCTAATCCTATCCTTTCTGGTGTGCCCACACATCCAATGAATCATTCTTATCACCGCTACCCTCATTTTATGTACGTGTTGATGCTTCACCGCCAAACATTCCGTGCCATAAAGCATTGTTGGCCTTATTACTGTCCTATAAAATTTTCCCTTGAAATTTAGTGGCATATGATAGTTGCACAACATTGCCGTCCTCTTTGTATTCATGATGATGTTAATTAAATTGTTAATGAAGATGTCAGACTTTGTAGCAGATATCGAAAATGTTGGATGAAAGAGGACATTTGGGACGAGCCGGGCTTAATTTCCTCTTTATAAGCTTTATGACAAGGCATGTATGACTTCTGATGAGTAGATTTTATATTACATATTTAACCCTATTCTTAGTATATTTTAGTTAATATTTTAGAAGAATTTTGATACTTTGAATTGTGTTTTCAATATAGGACTTTCAAATTTCTTTGGAGCAAAACTGACCAAATGGATCAACTTTTGAGTAATTCCACTTGAAGGATGTTCGTGAGTCAATTAGCTTGATCATATCAAAATTTGGAATTTTTCTTCCCAGCGGTGATTTTCTGGCGATAAAATAAAGGAGCGATGCGCGGTGCTGGAATAGTGACGCTTTGGGCTTGAATTGCGTTTTTGGAGCTCAAGATGACCTCGGATGGATTCGTGGTCTTCTAGAGATGTGTTCAGAATGTCTAATATTTAAAACAAGCTATCATGGGCCAGATTTGAAGGATATTTGAGGCTAAAACGTGGCTGGATAGTTCTTTTGCAGATTCTTCTAGTTTAATTATGACTTTATTTTGTAATATATTTTATTATTATTTTTAGTTTCCTAGTTGGAATAAAGAACCTGGTTTTTAGGGATTGTGTGATACCTTTTAGGTGGGATTTAAAAGGTTTCAGCCGGTCCTAGGTTATGCACATTTTCTTTTATGCAATCTTGGAGACGAAGAGAATTGCTAGTGTTCTTGAGGATTTTCTACCTTAGGGTGTTTCAATCATTTTCTTCATAATAATATTTTCTATGATTTTAATTGTGATTATGAGTAACTAATTCATTTTACTAGGGCGAAGCCTTGAGCCTTAACATGAATATGTAATTTTTATTTAATTGCTTATGATTGATTGCATGCACGCTTTGAATTATTAATCACTGTTTTAAACTATCTAATTGTCTTGATGATTGGTCACCATTAGGATCTTTAGAAAAGTAATTTGATACAATTTTGGTCGGAAGGTTCCCTGAAATTGACGCCGGCTTCTTGTGATTAATAATTGTAATTTCACTTAAGATGAACACCATGTCTTAGGGGTTGCATGGTTTTTCAAAGGGTTTTCATATTTGATCCGAACGTCCGGACGGATTGCATGTTAGATATACATTCTATGTTGGAGGTTCCAAGTAGAATATATATTAGAAAAAGCTAACCTTCAAAGTGGCATGCGTAGATCATAAGTAATTGGTAAAAATTCATAGGATTGCTAGGTGATGGTGGAACCCTAGTGCTTTTATAAATTGGTATTTAAAACTCTTTTCTTTTATCGTATTAGTTTCGGAGAATTTACTATTTATTTATTTTTTTATAATTAAAATTCGTTTTTAATATTACCCAAATTCAAAATCACCTTTCTCAATTTTTAGTTTGAAGTAGTTAATTAGGAATTGTTTCTACATAAATTATTAAAATAGTCCTTGAGGAGAACGACCTTGCATGAGCATCTATACTACAATAACCTTGTATTCTTGCAAGTATTTTGTGTGATT